TTTTTTTTTTTTTTTTTTTTTTTGTGTCCTGTCTATTTTGTATTAACTTTGTATTTTGTAATTAATTTAATTCTTTCAAATACTTTTCTTTTTTTACGGTTGAAATTGGACTATGACCATATCTTTTCGACGACAATCATCGCAACCAAGTGACATGACGACTAGTTACGATGAAGGACACGAGCAACAAAGAAGTAAAAGAAATTTTGGCCGAGCGAACAAAAAGGTACAAGAATTTTTGGTTAAGTGGAAAGAACTCCTAGAGTCAAAATCAACTGGGAACGTGCAGAAGACCTGAAGTCGTCCACACCTTAAATTGCAGAGTTTGAAAAAACGAGACGTTGACAAGGATGTCAACCAATTAAGTGGGGAGGATGTCACGACCATGCTTGTCCAAGGAGTATTGCCCATGATGCCCGTTACATGCCTAAACCCTTGTCTTGTGTCACTCTATTGCTTTGATTACTTTCATTATGTATAAGTTCCTTCTTGGATTTTCTAGGTGCATAAAATTTCGGCAGAATCATGAAATACCCCAAAATGTACGTTAGGAGAATGTGACCAGTCGTCAACTCCTCCCTCCTAGATTTTGTATGAGCGTTCGGCAAAATCACGTATACATCTATCAACCCCGAATCGCCTTAAAATGTACTATAAGGAGATGCAACTCGTTATCAAATACTCCCTACCAGGAAAGTTATATGTTATTTAAGACTATGTTGCCTCTTTTTACTTGTAGTCATACAAAAGTTCGATGCCAAGAAAAGTGCGATTGTGACACCAACTGTCCTCGCTGGCACTCGTTCCTCTCTCTAATCAATGTGAGATCTCACGATCCACCCTACTTCGGGGCCCAATGTCCTTGCTAGCACACCACCCGATGTCTGATTTTGATACTATTTGTAACCGCTCAAGCCCACCGCTAGCCGATATTATCCTTCTTGGCCTTTCCCTTCCGGGCTTCCCCTCAAGGTTTTTAAAACGCATCTGTTACAGAAATGTTTTCACACCCTTATAAAGAAGGTTTCATTCCTCACTCCAACCAATATGAGATCTCTCATAGGATATGTCATCACCAGCGACCCTTTCTTTCCCCACTCCAACCAATATGCTCAATATTCGTTGCCTAGCTCCCTCTTTTCTCTCAAATAAAGCTACTAAACAACACCCGTTGGTCTCGTGGTACCATTCCTAACTAATTTCAAAAAAAAATTGTAAACATAGTCAAAACTAAGCGCCAATAATATAGAAAAACATCTCGTAATCTACTCATTATAGTCAACCAATCGCTCTTCTAGTTTTATCATTCAAAAAACTGAAAGTTACCATTTATACCAACAAGATATAAATTTTCAACACATTCTCAGAAACCGAAAAACAAACATATCTTACAAGAACACACACAAAACACTTGAAACAAACATTCTAAGACTCAACATGAGGAACAAAAACAATGTTGTCTTGAGGATAGAAATGACAAACAGCTGAGGCACCAGGCACAACATTGAGCACTCTAAACACCACATGATCACTATCCCATTCAGAGGTATCAACATGACAAATAGCCAACGCTTCAACTCTATCACCATTTTCCCCCACAACAACCACCTTATACAACATAGTATCACTCACTTGGCTATGACAATACATCACCAAATAAGGGTATGGCATCAAATGACAAGACAATATTTTTGGAGCCCAAATTCTAATGGGTTCCTCCAAAATCGTGTACTTTTGCAATTCTGTCTTGAAATTCTTAGGATACTTAGTGGCCTCAGCCTTCACGCCGCCGCCTCCACCGCCGTCAGATCCAAAAACGCCGCGGGTCAAATGGTATAAGGAGTCTAAAGAGGTGGCACAAAACTTGGTTTCTCCTTCCATGGGCTCAAGCTCGCATTGTGTTAGAGTGTATTCCATGGCCTTGGCTTGTGGGGAAGCTTCAGAGATGGAGAAGAAATTAAGAAGGTAAGAGAGATTTGTGGTTGAGAAAGGGATTTTTTCAGCTATTTTTTGAGTGAGGGGTTTTGGGATTTGAGAAATGTTCTTGATTGAGAAGAAGATTGGCATGCTTTTTCCGAGTTTTAGATCGTTCGGAGTGAAGAACACGTTGAGTGATGGATCTTTGCTTGTTTCAATCATGCTGGCATAGCTCGTATTCGTCTGCAAGGTAAAAAAAGAAGTAAATTTTGTTAGGAATCACTGATGAGCTAAGCTCATCATGGTTTTGTTTTGGATTTCTCCAGAAATCCTCGTTACAATATAAATGTATTCCTTACTTATAAACTCATGATCATTCTCAACGTGTGACTCACTCTCAACTATCCCGAACAAATTTAAAGAGTTTTGTTCAATTTTTACGGGGTTAGAAGCTTACCTCAAGAACAAGAAGGAAGAAGAAAATGAGAGTGAAGTTATGAATAATGGCCTTCTCTTGCATGTTTGGTTTGGTTTCTTTGTGAATTGTGAGGATATTTCATGTGGTTTTCTCAAGAACATGATACCAATTTATTTAGGTTTGAGAATCCGTATGATGGCATTAATGGGTGGGTTTTTTTTTATTATTATTATTTCTTTGATGATGATGATTCTTTGAATTTGTTTATTAAGTGGCTTACAAAATGTCAACTTTGTTTACATATCATGTTAGCCTATATTATAATTGGATAGGAACTTCATCAAATATGTATACCATATACCAGTAGATATTGTGTTGTTTCGAGTCTTTCTTTTGAGATTCTTTTCAGATTTTTAAAACGTGTTTGATATGGGAGGTTTCGACACCCTTATAAAGAATGCTTTATTTTCTTCCTCAATCGATGTGAGATCTTATAATAACTATGGTAGCGAGGATGCTGACCCCGTAGGGAATGAATTGTGAGATTCCACATTAGTTGGAGAGAAGAACGAAGCATTGTTTACAATATCTACTAGTAGTGAGCTTATGCGGTTACAAATTATAGTGTGATCGGAAAAAACCAGTATGAATACTCTACCCGTTTGATATCGATTTTGTTTTTTTTTTTTTTCCTAATTTATTTAGATATCTCATTCATTCATTTCATCAGTTTGAAGATAAGATTAAGAATCATTGTATATATATATATATGATTGAGTGCTTGCCATTATGGAGCTGGTCAACTCAATCCATAATTTTATATCAAAATGCCCAAAAATAATAAAACACATTAAAAATAAATAAAAATAACTTAAGGAAAGCACCTTTAAAGAAAAAACTAATGAACTAAGTGTTCGTGATTTGGATTAGATCGGGTTAAAGACATTTTTTAGATTTAACCCAATTGTCTGTATATGAATATTTTTAATTAAAAAATTATTCATAAATAATGAATCAAACTCAACTTAATTTCGTTTATTTAAATTTTTATTTTTAATGAAACATTTATTTATTTTTAAACATTTAATTAAAAGATTAAAAATTATTTTTGAAGAGTTATTTGAGAATAAAAGATTAAAAATTAAAATAAAGATATGTATATATAATCGTACCAGTTTGGTTAAATGTAACAAAGTTTTAGGTTAACCCACGAATCAAACCCAACTGAGTTTTGGGTGAACCCACGAACCAAACCCAATTCATCAAGTTTTGATTAATTTAAATTCAACCAAAATAAATTCATAAACCAATCTAAACCATATGTAACGGTTAGGTTAATCAAACCCAGCTAAAGTTAAATACACTATGACTGACGAGCGTGAAGTGAATTTGGAATAAAGCACGATGCACGGGTTTCACCATAAACGAAGTAGCTATACTTCATTAGAGGGAGGTAGTTTAATAGTTTTTAGCTATCTATTCTAATTATTCCTAAACGTCTGATTTTCTAATTATATTTAATAAGAAAACAATATGCTACAACTCTCACTAGATTTTGTTTCATAAATAATAATAATAATAATAATAATAATAATAATAATAATAATAATAATAATAATAATTCAAAGATTTGCTTCATAAAAATTTAATAATAAAAAAATAATTATTCATCAATTGGGAAGAGCTTACATGCCCCCATAATGGCCCACCAAATTATTGAAAAAAATATATAATTTAGGTTAAATTATATATAAATATATAAAATACCAAAGCTTTCTTCATAAACTTCAATATTATTAAAATGAAATTAGACTATAATTCTTAATTGATTTGAGCCTAAGGGTAATGGTGTTTAGCCTAATTGTCGAAACAAACGTGTACAATGAGATGCTCGTTGGTTCTATGGTTGCTTGTGACATGTCTGTAAAAACATTAACTCCTTATGTACAATGAGATGCTCATTGGTTCTATGGTTGCTTGTGACATGTCAATCCTCCAACCTTTCAAGCATCTCGTGACCCAATCATAACTCTAAAGAATTTATGTGAGTTCGTAAATAATAAGATTTACCCAAACATTAGCTTAAAAACACTTCAAAACTTGCTTAAAAACACATTATTTGCACTATTAGTGCCCAACAAACAAT